TGACTTTTGATGATGTTTGCTGTTTATAGCTTGTCTTCCCCTTCAGAATGTAAGCTCTAGGATGTCAAGGATCATTGTTTATTTTGTTACTATATACCAAACAACAGATACTTGCTGCTGTTTGTTGTTAGAGAAAATGGAAATTTCTTCATTTTGCCAGAATTTTTCTAGGGATGGTGTTTTTTTAAAAATAAACTTGTAACAATTTGTAAAATTTGCCTATAATCTCAGCACTTTTTTTTTTGAGGCCGAGGCAGGCGATTACCTGAAGTCGAGAGTTCAAAACCAGCCTGATCAACATGGAGAAACCTTGTCTCTACCAAAAATACAAAATTAGCCGGGTGTAGTGGTGCATGCCTGTAATCCAAGCTACTTGGGAGGCTGAAGCAGGAAAATCACTTGAACATGGGAGGTGAAGTTTGTGGTGAGCCGAGATTGCTCCATTGCACTCCAGCCTGAGCAACAAGAGCAAAACTCCGTCTCAAAAAAAAAAAAAAATTTTGTTTTTAAGTTGTTGCTTTTAAACTTTTCCCTGCTTCTGATTAGCATAACTTGTTTGATTCTTTGAGTGTTCACGGATCCTGTCTGATCGTAAATTGAAGGCACTGAAGAAATCGTGATAATGTAATTTTGTGCTGGTGGTAGAGTGAATATTACCTTAGCTCCTGTCAAATATCTGTGGAGGCCTGTTTTAGAAGTCCAAATCTATACTATTCTAAAAGAGTATTACATTATAAAAATTTTCCATTTCTGTCAACTTAAAAAATTATACTTATCATAATGATTACCTGCAGATAAATAGGTATGACCTTGTATGCCAAAAGAAGACTTTTTCATTTTTTCATTGTAACTTTAGTTTTGAGGTTTATGCAATTATGTGTAATTCCTTATTTTTTTTCTGGAAACTTTTATAGTAGCATTTATATAATGCTGGAGAGGGCATAGCAGATAGGAATAACAACAAGGCTGGAGCAAGAGGGAATTGAAAAATTACACATAAATATGCATATACTGAGATGCAGGTATATAACCATTTTGAGTGACCCCCCCAGGCCGAATGTAACATAGTTGTTTTAAATGCTCTTTTCATCTACCCATTCAACAAGTGTTTTGCCCAGTAACTAGCTGAACTAGGGATAGCTAAATGAATCATAGTGTCTGTTTTTGAGGCTTCTCAGTCTAGACATAATGACCAATAATTTAATTATCATTAGTAAATTGAATGTCAGGTGCTCTATTTGAAGTAAGCTGAGTACTCTGTGGAGATGTTGGAGGTGGGGTGCTCATTCTGCTAAGGAGTAGAAGGCGCTTCAGTGTTAAAAGTTTACTATCCCAGGTGATTTATGGTGTGAAGATTGTCTTTAAAACCCTGAGCCCATTTATAGGCTTGTAAATTTGTATTCAGCTTCCTCTTTACAGATCTTTTTTTTTTTTTTTTTTTTGGAGACTGAGTTTCGCTCTTGTTACCCAGGCTGGAGTGCAATGGCGCGGTCTCGGCTCACCGCAACCTCCGCCTCCTGGGTTCAGGCAATTCTCCTGCCTCAGCCTCCTGAGTAGCTGGGATTACAGGCACGTGCCACCATGCCCAGCTAATTTTTTGTATTTTTAGTAGAGACAGGGTTTCACCATGTTGACCAGGATGGTCTCGATCTCTCGACCTCGTGATCCACCCGCCTCGGCCTCCCAAAGTGCTGGGATTACAGGCTTGAGCCACCGTGCCCGGCCTCTTTACAGATCTTGTAAAATTTCTGGGGCTTAATGGAGACGAGATACTGTGTAAAATGCTTTCTTAAACACAGTTGCTTTACTTTCATCTAATACTTCTGTCATTTAACAGTTTACTAAGGTTTCTCCCAATTCAAGACTCTGTGATTCTGTTACTTTTCTCTTTGCATTTTGTATTACAGTCCTACAGTCTTCTCTCTTTGTTTTGGAGCCAGAGTTCACTCTGTTGCCCAAGCTGGAGTGCAGTGGCAAGACTGAGTGTTTGGTTCCCTACCTGCTGGGATTTGCGGGATATTCTGTGCCCACATGGAGCAGCCATGAAAGTAGGAATGTGGCAGTTTTCTGATTATAATGTAGTTATTTAGTTAATTACAGAGATGGAATCTTGTTATGCTGCCCAGGCTGGTCTGAAACTCCTGGCCTCAAGCTGTCTTCCTGCCTTGGCCTCCTAAAGGATTACCAGTGTTATAGGCATGAGCCACCTTGCTGGGCTCTGATTCTAATTTTTGATAGTTTTGTCTGGGCCTGGCCCTAAATATCCCTACCATCTTGCTTCCTTCTCTCATTGAGGGTCTGCATATATCTCATCTTTGAAATATTTGGTCATTTTTTTCAGTATTATCAGCCATGATGTTTGTTCTTCATGGAAATCTCCTCTGCCCCTTTTATGAACCATGAAGTTTACAATGCTCTTTTCTCCTTAAATAGATTGCCTATGACACTCCACTAAGAAGATAAACACCAAACTTAAACTGCTTTGGTTGAAAATGTGATTTTAACCCTTTAAACAATGATAACTTTATTTTCCTATCATGTTGAAGCCTACCACAATGATAAGAATTCTTGGAAATGGAATGTTTTTGTAGAAAGTCAACTTTAAAAAGAAAGTTTTTTTGTTTTTTGTTTTTTGTTTTTTTTTTAAAGACTTTCTCCCCTTAACCCTCATTTTTCTCATTAACATAACCTTACCCCTCTTTATATGACTGGTGCATTCATTCTAGTTTTACACCCTCTGTGGTGAAAACTGGAAGGGCCTATTAGCCATTTGTCACCAATAATTTATTGATTCCAACATAATAAATGAGCATGTCTTCTTCCACCTTTTTCTTTTTTTTTTTTGAGACAGAGTTTCGCTCTTGTTACCCAGGCTGGAGGCTCACCGCAACCTCCGCCTCCTGGGTTCAGGCAATTCTCCTGCCTCAGCCTCCTGAGTAGCTGGGATTACAGGCACGCACCACCATGCCCAGCTAATTTTTTGTATTTTTAGTAGAGACGGGGTTTCACCATGTTGACCAGGATGGTCTCGATCTCTTGACCTTGTGATCCACCCGTCTCGGCCTCCCAAAGTGCTGAGATTACAGGCTTGAGCCACCGCGCCCGGCCTAAAAAGTTTTTTAAAATAAATGTTACCCAGTGGAGAAGCAGAATCACAAGCCAATAAGGTGATTATTCAGAGGTCACACAGAGGTGAAGTGGAAGTTCAGGAGATGGAGTTTTTTGCTTTGTTTTGCGACAGGGGTGTACTGAAGCCTCAACCTCCCAGGCCCAAGTGATCTTCCCACTTCAGCTTCCTGAGTAGCTGGGACTACAGGCGTGTGCCACCACGCCTGGCTAATCTTTTTATTTTTTGCAGAGACGGGGTCTTCCTGTGTTTCCAACGCTGGTCTCGAACTCCTGGGCCCAAGCAGCTCTTCCCCTCAGCCTCCCAAAGTGCTGGGATTACAGCTGTGAGCCACCATGTTCATTCTGGAAATAGAGTTTTTAATCTTAACCCTGTCTCCTGAGAATATCTTACTCAGTATAAATCTCCATTACTATCCAACTTAAGAAAAATTAGTTAAATCTTAAAATAGCTATTTGAGAATTGCTATTTATCAAGTAGATATGTGAAAATGGCATAAATGACTTAAAGTACATGAATTACACTTTGTTATACATACTCTTTTTTTTTTTTTTTTTTATACGGAGTATCGCTCTTGTTACCCAGGCTGGAGTGCAATGGCGCGATCTCGGCTCACTGCAACCTCCACCTCCTGGGTTCAGGCATTCTCCTGTCTCAGCCTCCTGAGTAGCTGGGATTACAGGCATGTGCCACCATGCCCAGCTAATTTTTTGTATTTTTAGTAGAGACAGGGTTTCACCATGTTGACCAGGATGGTCTCGATCTCTTGACCTTGTGATCCACCCGCCTCGGCCTCCCAAAGTGCTGGGATTACAGGCTTGAGCCACTGCGCCCGGCTATACATACTCTTAAGTGTAAAATGTTATTATCCCTAAAAACTTAGTTGCTATAATTTTGTTTCAGACAAATTTTCGATTTTGAAATGTTGCCTTGTAGTGTGATATGAAGTGCTAAACTGGTATTATAATTTTATTATTCTCTTTTGTCAATAAGAGTATTTGGCTTATTATTTGGTTTCTGCATTTTGCATAATCTAACATTTGCTAATTTTTCTGTATCAAAATTATATTGCTAGGAGAAGAAGAGAGGCAAAAATTAGGTGCTGATAAAAAGTAAGTCTGGGCGTGGTGGCTCACGCTTGTAATCTCAGCACTTTGGGAGGCCAAGGCGGGCAGATCATGAGGTCAGCAGATCGAGATCATCCTGGCCCACATGGTGAAACTCCATCTCTACTAAAAATACAAAAATTAGCTGGGCATGGTGATATGCGCCTGTAATCCCAGCTCCTCGGGAGGCTGAGTGAGGAGAATCGCCTGAACCTGGGAGTAGGAGGTTGGAGTGAGCTGAGATCGTGCCACTGCACTCCAGCCTGGTGACAGAGCAAGACTCTATATCAAAAAAACAAAAAAACAAAAAAAAACCACTTTGGAAACAAAATGATGCATTAGATAAGGGTGATATTTTGCTGAGCTTTCTTCTTTCTTTTTGGTTGCCAACAATGCCTTGCAGTTTGGTTGCATGTGCTTTGTTACCAAGAAATCTGATTCTTTGTACGTCTCAACTTTAAAATTTCTCTTTCATGTAAAAAGTGCATGCTAAATAATTGTATTTAGCGTTATTAATTGGAATAATATTAATGCTTTGAGTATAAATTAGCCTAATGTGTTATCCCATTGTCCTAAACAATAATTATATTATCTGTCGTATTGCATGATTATGAAGTATTTATACTGAATTTCCAAGGTAATTATTACTTCATGTGAAGTGTAATTTTTAAGCATTCATATCTGTCTTTTCATTTAGAGTTATTTTTCAAGAGTAAAGTATACATTTGAACAAATGGAATAACTTATTTTATATTTAATTTTTCTAGGGCAGCTTTGGAAGAAGTAGAAGGTGATGTGGCAGAATTGGAACTCAAACTTGATAAGGTAAATTTTACATGTTTAGCTTTTTAAAACATTGATTCTTGTTTGCCATAAATAATGATTAGTACCTACAATAACAGGTAGCTTTTTTTTTTTTTTGAGACAGTCTCACTCTGTCACCCAGGCTAGAGTACAGTGGCACAATCTCAGCTCGCTACAACTTCCGTCTCCTAGGTTCAGGTGATTCTCCTGCCTCAGCCTCCCGAGTAGCTGGGATTACAGATGCCTGCCATCATGCCCAGCTAATATTTTGTATTTTTAGTAGAGGCAGGGTCTCAAACTCCTGACCTCAGGTGATCCACCTGCTTCAGCCTCCCAAAGTGCTGGGATTACAGGCATGAGCTACTGCACCCAGCCTGGTAGCTTTTTATCTCTATGAGAGTAAATGCTATTATTATCCTAGTTTTACACATGAGGGAAGTAAGACTGGAGACACTCAGTAGCTTGTGTAAAGTCTAATCTTAAAGTGCTAGAGCAGGAATTAGAATCCATGTCTGACTTCAAAGCTCACTAAACATCCTTTATGTTGTTAGAAGCTTTTTCTGTATTTTCCACCAAAAAGATTGCATCTTTCTTTTTTGTTGCTTAATGGATTTCGTATGTAACCTGACCATTCTATAAATTTAGGTGTGGCCAGGTTCAGATATAAATAAATTTAAAATATTAATTCCATTTTTAAGCTAATGCCAGGAATGCTTAATATATACTTAATAATCAATATGGTCATATTTTATGGAAGGGTAAATGTACATTGATTCCTACCGTGTATATTATTGATGATTTTTTTTGTTGTTGTCTATCCAAGAAACATTGTTTGCTATGTAGTAGGCAGAAGTAGTAGGATGAGTAATACAGCTTCTGATCCATTTGTTTAGATATGCTTTTGAAACCAGTGGTCATTAAAATGTCTCTTTAAATTTCTGGAAATAGATGTGTATATTTGAAATACCTTTTCTGAAAATAATTTCCTAGTTTAATAATAATTATTATAAATGGTATTGCTGTGTAACCTAGTGCTTCTCAAACTTTAACTTTGCATAGGAAGCCCTTGGGGATCCATCTTGTGAAAATACAGATTCTGATGCAGTAGCTGGAGATACCTGAGATTTTGTGTTTCTAACTGGATTCCTGGTGACGTCCATGCTGTTGGCCCATAGATCACACTTTTTGAGTAGCAAGCATATAACATATATTAAGCTGGAGGTTTTCAAATGTTTTGAAACCATGAAACACACATCCATATATAGTCTAGAAACTATATAAAATAGCATTAATTCTGCATGTAAACAAATTACATCAAAAATTTTAAAGATGTTTACAAATAACTTATTTTTATATTATACTCTCTCATTTTTAAAGCCCTGTAATATATAGTATCTTTTTAATTTTTACAGCACTTCTGTAGGATAGGTAAGACAAGTGTTGCTATTCCCATCTTATAGATGAGGATACCAAAGCTCAAGAAAGTGAAGGGGACTTGTTTCATAACAAAGTAGAAGGGGCGCAACCAGGATTATTAGAACCCCTCTATCTTGTCTTTTTGTTTTTCTTTTTAAAGACAGAGTCTCACTCTGTCCCCCAGGCTAAAGTGCAGTGGCGTGATCTCAGCTCACTGCAACCTCTGTCTCCTGGGTTCAAGCCATTCTCCTGCCTCAGCCTCCTGAGTAGTTTGGACTGCAGACACACGGCACCATATATAAATGTAACTATGGAGCTTCAGGCACCATGCCTGGCTAATTTTTTGTATTTTAGTAGAGATGGGGTTTTACCGTGTTGCCCAGTCTGGTTGCAAATGCCTCAGCTCAGGCCATCCACCTGCCTCAGCCTCTGAAAGTGCTGGGATTACAGGCATGAGCCACTGCACCCGGCCCCTCTACCTTTGTGATCAGTTCAGTGCTCTTCTTGTGCATCACTGTACTTCACGATCTGTATTGGGGGAGCATACGCTACTGGGAAATGTTCTGAGGAATGCTAGCCAGCTTCCAGGCAAGTCTTTGTAAAAATTATTTTAATTTTGGATAAGGATATTATTTGCAAATACCTTCCTTTATTTTCTACTTAAAAATTACATGTCTGGCTTTTTATTACTGTTTTATTATTATTATTTTTTACCTTGAGGCATTGCATTTATTTTCAAGTACTCTTTGAAACAAAATTTTAAACTCTTAAGGTAGGCAACAGAAAATACAGTTTTGGTTTTATGGAAGATTTATGAGAGTATATAGAGGGGCAAGGGTTTTTAAAGAATCATAGAGTAGTATAATAAGGATGTCTTATACATAAATAATACATTATTACATATATATTATATACATGAAATAAGAGTAATGTAATAAGGTAGAATTGCATGTAAATCATATGAAATGCTGTGGTGGGACACCTCAGAGTTTAAAATACCTAAACAGATAGAATCCACTGACAGTGCTTTTGCTAATTATTTGGCTGTTACGAGTTAATTCTTTTTTCCTTTATATTATTCGCTTGGCATAGGGCACACTGCTAGAATCCTCAAACCAAAAGATTCAAATCTAAAACAAGTTACTGGAGTATTGACATTCACTACTAAGAACCATAAGCCCATTCTAGAGTCTGTCTTACTCAAAGGGCTACTAAGGATACATGGAAATTTGACAGCTTGAAAAATACCACATTTCTATTTTTCATCCCACTGAAGTTCCATAGTTACTTTTATATTTCTCTGGTTTTTTACCTCTCCCAAATTCTTTTTTTTTTTTTTTTAATTTTTAATTCTTTTTTTGAAATGGAGTCTTCCTCTGTCACCCAGGCTGGAGTACAGTGGTACGATCTCAGCTCACTGCAACCTCCACCTTCCAGGCTGAAGTGATTCTTCAGCCTCCTGAGTAGCTGGGATTACAATTTCATGCTACCATGCCTGGCTAATTTTTTGTTATTTTTAGTAGAGACAGGGTTTCACCATATTGGCCAGGCTGGTCTCGAATTCCTAACCTCAGGTCATCTGCCTGCCTTGGCCTCCCAGACTGCTGGGATTACAGGTGTGAGCCACCGTGCCCGGCCCAAATTGTTTATTTACTATTATTTTTATTTTAGAAATTTTATTTTAGAGGAGTTAGCATAGAGAAGAGAGGCTGAGAGGAGGAAGTAGTTGTTATTAAAGGTAGTAGCATTGAAGGACTAATGGGGGTGGTGGAGGGGTTGCTCCAAGTCTAGGTTAACGATTTCATAGCTTTGTGCAGGGTGAGTTCCACCTATAATATCATTGTAAATCATGCCAGGGACAGGTTATACTAGCTTGTTGACTTTGCCTATAATGTATGCCACCGGTAGTTACATTCTTTCTGGTGAATAATGCTTTATGAGTGGCATTGCTCTACTGAGTTCAATTATTTATCCATTCTTGCCAGATGTTCTGTCATTGACAGCATCATAGTGCATCATAGTTGCCATCTAGAATTAATTTCTGCATCTGTTGCATTGTCTCACTGGCTTGCTTGTTCCCTGTTAAGCAGATGCTCATCAAATCTCAGCTCAAGTACTACCAAACATTGGCTCTTGCATATACTTTGATGTAATCTGTTATAATATTGTAATTTTTGGTGGGTAGCATAGCTTAGTAGTTAAGAACACAAAGCCTGGAGCCGCTGGGTTTGAATTTGGCTCTGTCATTTACTAGCAGTATGGCCTTGGACAAGCTCTTTAGTCTTTCTGTGCTTCAGTTTCTTCTCTCCAAAATGAGGAAAATAAGAGTGTCTATTTCATAGGATTATTCTGAAACTAAAGTGAGGTAATACATGTAAAGTACTTAGCATAGTTCTTGGCACTTGGTAAATTCTAAATAAACAATGATGCTGTCTCTTCAACAGACTATCAGCTCATTGAAGACAGATTGTCTTTAAAAAGGAAAAAAACTGGCTGAAAGTGTTGGCTCACACCTGTATTTCCAGCACTTTGGGAGGCTGAGGCAGGTGGATCACTTGAGGTCAGGAGTTTGAGACCAGCCTGCCTAACATGGTGATACCCGTCTCTACTAAAAATAAAAAAATTAGCCAGGTGTGTTGCCCCTGGTGTGGTAGTGTGTGTGCACCACTGCACTCCAGCCTGGGTGACAGAACAAGACCCCGTTTCCAAAAAAAAAAAGAAAAAATCCTCATTTGTTTTGTATACTTTGTGTATACAAAGTCCTATGTTTTATATTATTTCCGATCATTATAGCAATATTGCAAAGTTGGTATCATCCCTAATTTGCACACAAAAAAACAAGAATTAGTATGTTACTCAAGGATAGTCAGCAGAAAAGTTGTTTGTATTTCTATCATCTGGCAGTGTCTGTGACATAGTAATTGCTTAGTAAAAAGTTGTTGAATGAATTAAGAATATTGGTTTGATAACAGATGGACTTGACCTTTACTCTTCTTGTTGTAGGTAAAAATCTTCCTTCTGTAGTGTATATTATTCAGTTATAATTCATTCATCACTGTCATCTAACAAGGATTTTGACAGCTGGCAAAAGCTTAGTCTTCTCTCTGCCTCTCTCCCTCTTGATTACCAAGTCCGTCCTTCCTCCAGGATAGCTACAGTGTATATGTGCTTCTGCTGCATGACAGTTTCATTTTCTCTGTAACTCCTGTGATAGTGACCTCTGTTCTACTTCTGATAACTATTTTGTGGCTATGTTCTGTGCCTTATCACCCAGGATTCCAATCTTTGAAATCCGGAATGCTGCTATTCTACTTTCTAACTTGAGTCTCTAGTCCTTCCTGTTCTCAGCCTCATTACTGCTTCTGTTCTTCAGCCTTACCTCTGGTCTTTATCCACTTGTGATATTTCAGATCACTTCTTTTTTTAAATTGTACTTTGTGTTCTGGGATACGTGTGTAGAATGTGCAGGTTTGTTAGTAGGTATACATGTGCCATGGTGGTTTGCTGCATCTATCAACCCATCATCTAGGTTTTTTTTTTTTTTTTTTTTGAGACGGAGTTTCGCTCTTTTTACCCAGGCTGGAGTGCAATGGTGCGATCTTGGCTCACCGCAACCTCCGCCTCCTGGGTTCAGGCAATTCTCCTGCCTCAGCCTCCTGAGTAGCTGGGATTACAGGCACGCGCCACCACGCCCAGCTAATTTTTTGTATTTTTAGTAGAGACGGGGTTTCACCATGTTGACCAGTGTAGTCTCGATCTCTTGACCTCATGATCCACCCGCCTCGGCCTCCCAAAGTGCTGGGATTACAGGCTTGAGCCACCGCGCCCGTCCATCATCATCTAGGTTTTAAGCCCTGCATGCATTAGGTATTTGTCTAATGCTCTCCCTCCCCTTGCCCTGCTCCTGATGGCCCCTGGTATGTGATATTCCCTTCCCTGTGTTCATGTGTTCTGATTGTTCAACTCCTACTTACGAGTGAGAACATGTGGTGTTTGGTTTACTGTTCCTATGTTAGTTTGCTGAGAATGATGGCTTCCAGCTTTATCCTTGTCCCTCCAAAGGACATGAACGCACTGTTTTTTAATGGCTGCTCAGATCATTTTAAAATACACTTCAATGTATTTTTAATTTTTATAATTAAAAAAATTGAAATAAAATTAACCTAACATAAAGTCCACTGTTTTAAAGTCTGTAATTTGTGGTTTTTAGTATAGTCCCAGTGTTGTACAATTATCACCACTATCTAATTCCAAAATATTTCTTTCACCCAAAAAAGAAACCCTATACCTATTAGCAATCACTCTCGATTCTCCTCTCCCTCTGTCTTCTGGCAACCTAATCTGCTTTGTGTTCCTGGATTTGCCTATTCTGAACATTTCAAATAAATAGAATAATACAATATTTGGTCTGTGTGACTAGCTTCTTTCTCTTAGCATAATGTTTTTTTAAGATTCATCTATGTTGCAGCATGTTCCTTTGTTTTTATAGCTGTATAATATATCATTGCATGGATGTACCTCATTTTGTTCATTCATCAGTTGATTGACATTTGAGTTGTTTCTCTTTTTTGGCTGTTGTGAATAATGCTGCTATGATCCCTTTCAGAATACTCTTAATTTTATTATATCATTATTTCTCTTCAGAGACTTTTATGTCCATTCCTACTCTGCAGGTGTTCTCCGCTATTTTAAGTCTAGTCATTTATATGATTTGTCCCATGTCTGGCCCGCAAAACCCTACAGGGGAAGTTACAGCTGTTTGGTGAAGCCAATTTATGGTGCTATACATTCCTGGAATTCTTGTTATAAAGTAGTTTCCCCAAAACCCAATCAGGTTTCTTTCTGTTACCTTTAGTGGCTTTTCAAGACCTTAAAATTTGCCACATTGTTCTTCATTCCTAGCAGGTGGCCTTGTCTCTTCGTCTGCTTGGCGGGAATGCCTTTATTTCTTGCTTCTAATCTAGAAGTTTAACAGAATCTGTTCTTACCATTTTAGTTTTTCTGCTAATTTGAATGATAAAAGTATCCCTTTTTCTATTCAGTTCCAAGCGCCCTAACTCATCAGGACTTTGCTTTAGCGTCTCTCCTTTCCATTCTCTGCCACCTCTATCTTAAGTAGATAAAGATCTTTTTTTTTTTTTTTTTTTTTAAACTAAGTTTGTTTCTTAGTAAGACAAAACAAGAGCAAACAACAATAAGAAAAACTTCCCCTCTGACGAGGAAGCACAAATCTCTATTAACAATTATCGTGTGCCAGTAGTGCTAAGAATCTTTTTTTATTTTTTTTTAAAAGATAGAGATGGAATCTTGCTATAGTGACCAAGCTGGTCTCAAATGCCTGGCCTCAAGAGATCCTCCCATCTCAGTCTTCCAAAATTTTGGGCTTACAGTCATGAGCCCTGGCCTGTGCTGAGAATTGTTATGTGCATTAACTTACTCTTTTTTTCTAGAAACCATATATGGTTCGGTACAATTGTTACGTGTGATAAAGAAGAAGAAATGGAAGTTTGTTGAGTTTAAGGTCACTCAGGCTCACTTAGATGGTTAAGTATGACAGTAGGTTGAACCTAAGCAGACTTAGCTGAGAACTCTTAATTTTTTTTTTTTTTACCATAACATTTTACTATTAACCTCTTTGTTTTTATGGAAACTTTTAATTATTTTAAAATTATTTAATTTGTTGCATAATACCACCTATGTAGTACATAATTTGAAGGTAAAAAAGTGTGTACTCAGTGAAAATTAGTCATTTTCTAATCTCTTTCCTAGAGGAATGCACTGAACTAGTTTTTTTTGCCCTCGCAAAATTTTCTTTTCTTATTTATTTATTTTATTTTATTATTATTTTTTTGAGACAGCCTCGCTCTGTCACCTAGGCTGGAGTGCAGTGGCTGATCTCAGCTCACTGCAACCTCTGCCTCCCGGGTTCAAGCAATTCTCCTGCCTCAGCGTCCTGAGTAGCTGGGACTATAGGTGCGTACCACCATGACTCGCTAATTTTTGTATTTTCAGTAGAGACGGGGTTTCACCATGTTGGCCAGGCTGGTCTCGAACTCCTGACCTCAAGTGATTTGCCCACCTCGGCCTCCCAAAGCTCTGGCATTTCAGGTGTGAGCCACTGTGCTTGGCCTTTTAACAAACTTTTCTAAGCATACAAAAGTATTTGTACTCTTGAGTACAAATGACTTTCCTCATTTCAACAAAAATATTAGCACTGTTCTACATTTTGATTTTTCTCTCAATATATCATGGATGTTATTTGTTGTTATAGAGCCGTCTCATTTAAAAAATGGTTGAATTATATTACCTTGCATGGATATATTGTAATTATTTGTCCACTGATGGACACTGAGATTGCTACCAATATTTTACTGTGACTGCAGTGAGTAACTTTACATGTGTCATATGGCCTGTGTGTAAAATACAGTTGTATAATACATTTTAAAAAGTGAAATTGCCAAGTTAAAAGGTATGTATGTTTTAAATTTTGATAGCTCTTGCTAAATTGCCTTCTCTAGGTATTATACCAATTTACACGTCTACCAACAATGCATGACTTGTTTCCCCATACCTGCCCTCTTTAAGACAGCATGTTGTCAAACTTTCTGATCTTTGCTCTGAGTAAAAAAAAAGTAATTTCTGTTTCTTTTATTATGAGTGACAATGAATATCTTGGTTTAAGCCACATGTATTTCTTTTGAGGGGGCAATTATCTCTGCATATATGTTACTCATTTTTTCTAGTGAATGCTTGGATTTTCAAGATGACTTATATACTCTTTCTTATGGTAGGGAAACTTGTCCTTTGTGATTTATCTTAATAGTTTTCCTATGTTGTTTCTTTTGACTGTGTTTGTTTTTTCCTTATAGAAATGTCTTATTGTTATGTAATTGTATTTGTCCATTTTTTTTTTTTGCATAGTATTTGAAGTTTGCATCCTTCTCAGAACGACTTTGCATTTTGGGAGTATTGAAAAAGAATGCCTTCTGTTTTCTCTTTTATTTCTGATTTTGTTTTTATGTTTAAATCTTTATTCTATCTGTAATTAACTTGGGTATCTGTAGTACAACTTAATTTCTTTTTTTATTTCCTTCAGATGTCTATCCAGTGTCCCTGATATAATTTATCAGATAACTTTTTCCCCCACTGGCTGGAATATTACTTTAATCAAATATGGCATATTTATATCTTTTTTTTTTGACTGTGTATTCTATTACATTGATCAGTATGTCTATTTGCATTTACTACCAGACTTCTATTTGCTATATCCTTTTGTAATATATTTCAATATCATGTAATACTCATGTTCCTACATCATTGCTCTTTCAATTTTTTGCTCTTGCATAGTGGTTACACCATATGAAGTTTAGAATCAGTTTTTCTGGCAAGACATTTTATTTTATATTGTAAATAGTAAATGGCTTAAAAGACACCTTTGTCAGCATTTCTCACAGTAGATTTTGTGGAACATTGATCATGTAAGAATGCTTCCTCTAACAAGACTCCCCATGAAGTCAAATATTTCTGGGAAATGCTGCATATTATATACCTCCCCTCTTGGATGCACATTGATAAATCAAAGGCTCTTAAGAGTACAGCAATATCTTCAGTAGCCTTTTCTATGACTCCTTCCCTGGTCCTCACAGTCCTGATTAGATGGTCTTTGTTTTTTTCTCTCATGCATAGTTTTGTCATAGTAGTTGTGTTTGTATCTACTTGTCTTCTTATTAGAATTATAGAATTAGAGATTTTGAGAGCAGAGATTATGTTTTCAATTTCTGTTCCCCTAGATCTTAGGTTAGCAGTTTTAATTTTTACTCTTGAGATCCTTCAGGAGTTTTCTCAAGTTTTTCTTGGCTCTTTATCCTCTTCTTTGTGGTCCCCCCGCCCTTTCTATCCCCTCAGTATTTTTCTTTCCTTTGTCTAGAAGTTTCACTTTTATCTCTTTTTTAATATTTGACATTTGCCCAAGATTTTGGTAATAGAAAATGTTCTGTGTCTGAAAGAAAGGAGAGAAGGAAGGATGGAAGGGAAGAACAGAGAGATGGAGGGATGAAGGGAATGAAAAGAAGAAGGAAGGAAGAAAGAGGAAGATAAAAAAAGAGAAGAGCCCAGTACTAAGGCTTAGACAATGCCTGGAACAATAGGCATTGGAGAAATATTTTTTTGAGTAAATGGTTGATTAATCAATTTAGACATCTGCTTTGACAGACTAATATTGAAATAATCAGCATGACTAACCTATTACGCCAGTTTACTTACCTTTCCTCCAACATACTTTTGTTGTTATTACACTGCCTCTGGATCCTAAAAGGTCAACTTTTTAAGTACAACTATGCTATGAATTTATTAAAGGAAAAAAGAATACTTTTCAGTTAGTCTGTTTTGAGTTTATTGATGAAACAAATTTAACTTAACTAGATCACCTAATATAGTTACTGCCAACACTTGTTCAACTAAGTAATTTGTAAAACTATCTTCAACCTGATGAATTTTTTTTTCTTTTTCAGCTTGTGAAACTTTGTATTGCAATGATTGATACTGGAAAAGCCTTTTGTGTTGCAAATAAACAGTTCATGAATGGGATTCGAGACCTGGCTCAGTATTCTAGTAATGATGCTGTAGTTGAGGTTGGTATTACTAAAATTACAGTTAAAAATGAAAAAAAAAAAAAAACCAAAAAAAAAAAACCAACAAAAAACCCAGACATTAAAGGATTGTACCTTCATCTACCTTATTTATCATTATGTTGATACTTAAAATTAGAAGTAGAAAAGCAATCACCCCTTGGTACTGTCTTGTATGAATCTGTTTTGTAAGACGGAAGTTGATGGTTGATTTGCATTGTGCATTATCTAGCTTGGCTCTCCTCACCTAGTTTCGGATTGTTTTGGTTAGTTTACCAAGTTGACTTGCTTCTAGGTGAGCTGAAGCACCTGTCACAGGGCCTGAGAAAGAAGATCAAGATCATGCCTATTAGTAGCTGCTTATAGGGGCATGCAGAGAGCGTTAACCTAAGTACAGTGTCTAACTCTATGTATGGAGGCCTGTATAGGTTCTGGTCAGCCAGCTAATGCTGGGTTAGCTTAGATCCCTTGGCATACTATGTGGTGTTATATTTCTTTTAAAACAATTTGAACTTAGGTTTATATATGCCATTTCTATTGTTAGCATAATACCATTGAAGGGGCAGTACTAATGCTTTCACATTTTTAGGGCTTTATTTGTTACCACATGTAGACTTGACCTCTGCAGAGTGTACCTATGAGGTAGTGAGATTGTCCTTGGAAATAAATGTTACTGTTTACGGTGTAACTTGATCTGCTGTCAGAAATCCTGAGGTAACATTTTTGTGACCTATTTAAATGGCTCATACATGATTTGGTTTTCTTTTGATTTCTTTCTCATAGACAAGTTTGACCAAGTTTTCTGACAGTCTTCAAGAAATGATAAATTTTCACACAGTAAGTGTCAGTAAGTAGTTAAAATTACAGTTTTAACTGTATTTGACCATATTAACATTTTAGTACTTTTCTTGAGTCTCAGTATTTTATGAAATGACTGAAGGTGAATTATATGGCTTTGCTTGGTCATCAACCTTTTAGTTGAGTGGATCTAAAATGTACACTGCGTGTGTGTGTGTGTGTGTGTGTGTGTGTGTGTGTGTGTAGAGAGAGAGAGAGAGAGAGAATAAGAGTATTATTTCTCATTCTAATATAGTAAAGTTAATATCATTGAAGGACATACCCCCAAAGTTAAATGTTTTCCCTTTAAGTTGTGGCTTTGTAAAGTTTTTAAGCATGTATTTAAGAATAAAGAAGTAATAGTCATTTTAAATGTAGCTGTTTCTTTTTAGATACTTGCCAATATATCTCCTTTATCTAAACAATTACCAGTATTAAAGAGTGCTATATATTTTGAGCTATTTATATGTGCGTTTAAGATTTGTGGGCATTTATCTTTCAAGCATGTAGGCTATATATTACTTTGGGAATGTCACAAAATTCCTTTACAAAGTTTGTAAAAGTTTGCTGCAGATACGGCAGCTTATAAGCTGTATGTTTCTTATATTTTTTAAAAAAGCTTAACTGATACAGTTGTTGTATAATTGTTTAATCACTGCTTTCAAATTAATTAGCAGCTATCTGTAATAAGTGTATCAGTACTTACATTCATAAAATCTGCTTGTTTTGGGTTCTTAATTTGATTTTCTTAATTTTTTTGTTGGTCATCATATTTAGGATGAAGTAATATGATATTGCTTATTTTAATTATAGTTCAATTTTTAGCTATACCAATATTGACATGTACAAGTATCTGTTTGAGTGCCTGTTTTCAGTTCTTTGGTGCATGTACCTAGGTGTGGAATTACTGGGTCATATATTCTATGTTTAACTTTCTGAGGAACTGCCACAGTTTTCCACAAAGACTGTACCATTTTACATTTCCACCAGCAATGTATGAGTGTTCCAGTTTTTCTACATCGTTATCAACACTTGTTATTTTCAACTTTTTAAAAAGAATGATAACCATCCTAGTAGGTATGAAGTGGTATCTCATTGTAGTTTTGATTTGCATTTCCCTAATGACTAACACAGTTGAGCATCTTTTATGAGCTTCCTGGTTTTCTGTGTATCTTCTATCATTGTTACCATTGTTGTCTATTTGAAGTCCTTTATTTATTTAAAGACAGCGTCTCACTCTGTCACCTAGACTGGAGTGCAGTGACAGAGTCATACCTCACTACAGCCTGGAACTCCTAGGCTTAAGTAATCCTCCTGCTTCAGCCTCCCAATTAACTAGATACGGGGTTTTGGTATGTTGGCCAGGTTGGTCTCAAACTCCTAGCCTAAAGTGATCTATCCTCTTTGGCCTCCCAAAGTGTTGGGATTATAGGCATGAGCCACCGCACCTGACTTTGAAGCAAGGGATACATGTATTATTTGCTTCAGAGGGATAGAGATTGGTCTTTATTTTTAAAATTCTATTTATTTATTTACTTGTTTATTTTTGAGATGGAGTATTGCTTTGTCGCTTAGGCTGGAGTAGAGTGGTGCAATCTTGGCTCACTGCAACCTCTGCCTCCTGGGTTCAGGGGATTCTCCTGCTTCAGCCTCCTGAGTAGCTGGGACTACAGGTGTACGCCACCACACCTAGGTATTTTTTTTGTATTTTTAGTAGAGACAGAGTTTCACCGTGTTGGCCAGGATGGTCTCTATCTCTTGACCTTGTGATCCACCTGTGTTGGCCTCTCAAAGTGCTGGGATTACAGGTGTGAGCCACCGTGCCTGGCCTTTTTTTTTTTTTTTTTTTTAAAGATGGAGTCTCACCTTGTCTCCCAGGCTGGAGTGCAGTGGTGTGATCTCGGCTCACTGCAACCTCCACCTCCCAGGTTCAAGTGATTGTCCTGGCTCAGCCTCCACAGTAGGTGGGACTACAGGCGTGTGCCACCACACCCAGCTAATTTTTTGTATTTTTAGTAGAGATGGAGTTTCACTGTGTTAGCTAGGAAGGTCTCGATCTTCTGACCTCATAATTCCACCCGCCTCGGCCTCCCAAAGTGCTGGGATTACAGGTGTGAGCCAACATGCCTGGCTGAGAGTGAGTTTTCTTTAACTCTACTAGGATCCATTCAGGAAAACAGAAAAAACATAATAAAATTTTTGAGAGAGCGTTTTGCTCTGTCACCTGGGCTGGGGTGCCATAGCCTGAGACTGCAACCTCAGTCCCCTGGGCTCAGTCCTTCAGCCTTAGCCTCTCGAAGTGTTGAGATTACAAGCATGAGATAACACACCTGGCCAGGATATTTCTGACAGAAAGATTTTAATACAGGGAATTGGATGCAAAAATGTTGGAAAGGTTGGAGGAATAAAAAAGCTAAGGTGATCATGCCTTCTAGGGATCAGTAAACTTGGAACGTGGTGGTTGTGCCTAGGGCTGTAGCGACAAAAGTGAAAGCGGTGTTATCCAGAGCCCCTAAATACTGAATTGTTGGGGATACTGCCATTACTTAGCCAGGAAGCCAGAAGCTTGTCTTCTAATTGCTGCTGTGTAAATTGCTGCTGAGTAAGCCAAGGAGCTTATAGTTCCATTGAAACTGCCAACTTGGCCACCAGTTCTGCTGAAAGTTGGAGTAGATCATGGTTTCTCACCGAGGTTGTGTCAGAACAGAAACAGAAACAAGTGACTTTTCTTTTTCTCTTGCCTCTTAATTTGACATTATCTTCCATTGCAGAACCTAATCTCTCTGCTTGCAAGGAAGTCTGGGAAATATGGTACTATGTAAGCTTCTAGCACTGGGCAATAAAGAGAAGGAGACTAAGAGTGAGTGTGCCACTTAGTTTTTATCCTTAAAACCTTTTATGTGATATTTCTCTTTTCCATATACTCAATATCTAATACATTAGCAAAATATACTCCAAACTTAGTTATCCATAATTTCTCTGGTACCTCCAAGTCTAAACTGCTCCTCCCTCTTGTTTAGGCTTCTACAATAGCTTATGCCTCTGCTTCTCTTCTTTCCCTTCTGCGATGTATGCTGAAGACAGCAGCCAAAATGAATGTTTGCAAACAAAAATTAATGCACAGCACGTCCCTGCTGCAGTGGCTTCCTGTGACACTCAGAATAATATCCTAACCATGGCCTACCAAGCCTTATATGATCAGGCTACTGCTCGTTGCTCTGTGATCTCCTCTCTACTCTGCCTCACTGTAGCCACTTGGGTTCTTTGTTGTTCTTAGAATGTACCAAAGTAGTTCATATCTCAGAGCTTTGTGCTTGCTTTCTGTTCTGTGTCGAATGTTCTTTCTCCACATCTATGTATGGTTAGATTCTTCACAATATTCCTTCCCCCTTCCTTTATTTAGGTCACTTCCTCTCAGAGAGGCCTTCCTTAACTGCTCTGTGGGTCCCTTTCTGTCACTTTATCCAGCTTTTACATATGTAAACACATAATACACAGACTGTGTATACACCCATATCCATGTATACATATATTGTCTGTTCTCAAATATGTACTTATTTTAGTGTCTGTTCTAAGTTCCATGATTGCAGGTGCTTTGTTATGCTCATCTCTGTACTTAGAAGAGTATTTAATAGAGGTTACCAGGTACGGTGGCTCATGCCTGTAATCCCAGCACTTTGGGAGGCCAGCGGGGGCAGATCACGAGGTCAAGAGATCAAGATCATCCTGGCCAACATGGTGAAACCCCATCTCTACCAAAAATACAAAAATTAGCTGAGCATGGTGGCACATGCCTGTAGTCCCAGCTGTGCTGTAGGCTGAGGCAGGAGAATCGCTTGAACCCAGGAGGCAGAGGTTGCAGTGAGCTGAGATCGTGCTACTGCACTCCAGCCTGGCAACAGAGCAAGACTCTGTCTCAAAAAAAGAAAGGAGTGACTCATGGCAGGGTTAACAAGACTAGAGTTAGGAACTTGAGAAAATGCTTAAAAAGTTTTTTTATACTCATTAAATCAACAAACACAGTTAACTTTCTCTATTCCTTATACTTGAGAAACCTCATACTCTCTGTTGACTGTAAACCTCATGTTGCTTTAAAAAGACGATTGTTATACTAAGAAAAAAAATTACTCTTTGTCTGCCTGGAGGTCTGAAGGCTCTGTGTTGGTCAGCTTGTTTGTGTTTACATATGTGTTTCCATACATGAAGACCTTTTGTCTCATACTGTACCCAGAAGTCCAGTGCATATTTTGTTCCCTATTATTTTTGACAGCATCTCAGAAATTTTCCTTTTAATAGATACAAAAATGAAATTGTGAGTCTTTGGTTTACTTTCTTTTAATTTTCTTCTTTTTATAGTTAATACGCCGTCTATTCTATCTGGCCTTTTTTTTGTTGTTGTTGTTTTTGTCTTTAATTTTTTTTCAGAAGGAATGACTTGTGTCACGTGAACTAGAATTCTTGTATTTGTGGCAAAAGTTCTTCCCTCATAGCACTGTTATATTTCACATTGCTTAGACTATGGCTAGGGATAACACTTATCTAGTTTACTGTTATACTCCAGTAGTTACATAATTCTCATTTTAGAGAAGTCATTTTTCTGAGATTCACATTCCTCCTCTGTAGGCTACGCATGGTGGTTCACACCTGTAATGCCAGCACTTCAGGAGGCTGAGGGGGTTGATTGCTTGAGCCCTGGAGTTAGTGACCAGCCTGGGCTACACAGCGAAACTTGGTCTCTAAAAAAATTAGCTGGGTGTGGTGGCTTATGCCTGTAGTCCCAGATACTCAGGAGCCTGAGGTGTGAGGATCACCTGAGCCTGGGAAGTTGGGGCCACCAGTGAGCTGCGATCGTACTACTGCACTCCAGCCTGAGTGACAGAGTGAGAACTTGTCTCCAAAAAAAAAAAAATTTACATTCCTTCTCTGTAAAATGAAGCTAGATAACTTTTCATTATTAAAAAATTATAAAATCATGAGGCATTTATTATAAGATTTAAATA